GAACGAAACTCAATCATCAACTTCTTTTTATTGTTTATCTTCAGTATTCAGACTAATTATCCAAATAGAAGCTGCTAAAGTCCATATGTTACGTTCCTGATAATTCTTTTATTGATTTTACATTTAAATGAAAACCTAAAAACAAAGACTATAAATTTACTAGCGGAAAATGTTCTGTTTTTGATAGTTCTAAATAATTTGTAATGGTTCAATTCGTAGGCTGGCAAAGAACACGCGTAACAACCTATTACGTTCGGGTTTCGAGCGTTTTTCTGTCGTAAATAATTAAGAAATGAGTACGGGATTGTCCAGATGAAACAAGTACATTTGCTGGCTATTTCATGATATCAAAAGAATATCGAAATGGTATCAGAAAAAATGGGTGAAAGGTACAGAGCAGCAGCGACTGCTCAGAAGCAAAGTCGGTACAAAAGTACGAATAAACAGAATGTTTGGTAGAACGTCCACTGGGACATTTGGCTAAAATAATGATTGTTTCTATTCAAACAACCATGTTTTCTCCGTAAAACTAAAATCACTTCAACTTAACCTAAATTTATAGCCATCTTACCTGACAGTTTATGGAAATGCATTCAGGTAACCTAATTCATACTCCTCAAGAAAAGAAGAATTCAACCTCTAGAGTGGTGTTATCAACGAATTTGAACTTTGACAACTAATTTACCATCTCTAAAATATTCAGTAAACTAGAAAACTAACAGTTTTTATAACTTAAAGAGCTTGAAAATTGATAAGGGATACTCAGTACTGTAGGATGAGGGATCAGATATATAGCTTCCAATGCAGATTATTGACAAGTCCATTGAATTGCTTCGTTTTCTGCTTGGAAATTTTTCCGATACATTCTTCTTTTGGATAGGTATTGCATAAATTCATTCTTAGTATCCAAAGATGCAGTTGATGAGTCTATGGGCTGAATTGATCAAATGTTGGAGAACTAAGCAAATAACTGTTTTGAGATACGTGACAACCAGGTAAAACAGTACTAGAGGATGCTTTTGAAATCTTAACACTTAGGGTGCTCAGTTCAAAAGAGAATTCTCTTAGAATTTAATATGCCTCACGATTTCAATCAAATTACCCGTCACCTTTGTTTTTATACTTTTTTGAATCTTAGTGCCAGCTGAAAGTAAACATTTAGGTGGTATGTCTTCAATCAGCGACAAAGCTTCAAATTGGATCTTGGTTTCAACATGTCACAGTTACTTAGGAGCTGCCAACGGAAGAAAGCATCTGATGAGAGTATCTGTTAGAAAGGAACCAAAGAACAAATTTGTAGATGTGTACTTCTTTAGTTTTTGTATGCTTTGAATGTCTTATCTTATTATTTTAGGAGATGAACAAATTCTGTGTCCAACTTTCTGTAGTTGCTACTTCGCTTGATGATAATATTCAGAGCGTTCACTTCTTATGAGAAGATACGGTCAAAATGATCATGCGAAATCAGTTAAACTAATTTCTTGAATGGTGAAAAAACATGAAAGTACTGATTGGAAGAATACCAAAAAACTACACGCTAGTAAGGTGACCGAAAATTATATCAATGTGGACTGAACGTTACTCAGTAAAGCGAAGATCACATTTAGTACAAATCACCTTCTCCTCATTACTATATGACAAGTGAACTTATGGCAAAAATACTTAGCTGATGTACTTCTATGAACATCTAGTTTTCAGTTTTTCCAAATTGTTAGTATGATTTTTAATGTCTGTAGTCGGGTAGCACCCTATCTATAGCTACGGTATTACGTAATTGATTATATTAGTAAAAGTGGTGAGTAACTACTTAGACACAGATAAATTATTATTGCTACTATTAATTATTGAGAATAAGTTATTATATACAAAATATAAACAAGCTGCAGTGAATAATTTTTGCAGTAATTGCATACGTTAAATGCTTTTAATTACTTACTTCAGTCTGCAATAATCCCAAAATACTCATTCATGTTAGCTTAAAGGTAACCTAATAAACTTAGTAATGACCGAAAAAAAGAGTATATTTGTTGGTTAGCAATCTGTATGCGACCAAGTCTGCTAACACAAACACCAGCTGCTGCCCGATGACAGGAATAGCTGAAATGCAGAAAGTTAACACCTTTAAAGAAGCAAAGTGGGGTACCGAAAGAATTATGTACTAAAGCAGTCGAATGTAACACGGTATTAGTAGAAGCCCTAAAAGATAAATCTGATCGGCGACAAGCAGAAACTACCGTCCTATATGATGCATAAGAGTCCTCAAGAAAAATATTTTATGAACATACAAACGGAAATGACAAATAAGACTGTGAAAAAGAAGATAAAGACCAAAGACAACTGCGGAGACCCTGGATTAATCAGCCTTGAGAAATGAAGTGGTATAACTGAGTCCAGAAAATTAGTGAGACCGAAAAAAGATCTGAAAAGTGATAGAAGAATCACTACAGGAAATAGTAGTCGAACTGGACAAACTGTTTCGAAAAAACGACAAGTACTTTGAATCAGCAACACCAACCAGTTTGGGGACACAATAGTAAATATCATTCAAGTTTCTAAATAACATCATCTTCAAGATTGTAAAGATTTGCGGGTTCGCCTTGGAGCTCAAATATAATCAGTTGGAATCTGTTCTAATTAGAGTCTTAAATTCAAGACCATAACTTATACAGCTTGAAAAGCAGACATTTAAAGAACTCGTGGAGTTTTAATGATAGGATGATCCCCAAAAGCCTCCGGTGGTTTTAAAAAGGCCGAAGAACACCCGTCCAGTCATGGCCTGATAGAATTTGTTGAATGTCAATATGGTATAAGGTGATTGGATGATGGCGTAAAATCACTATTCACGGACTGGGTGATTTCAATGTTTTCACTCAACACGAAAACTATAAATACACACTGATTGTATGTGCATTTTTGACACTTGCTAGAGCATAGGTTTCTCCTGTTATCGTCCGACTATTGATTTACGACCTGAGGGGCAGTTCTAATAGTCCTAGTGCCAAAGGTTGTAGTGTATTAGCCGTTTCAGTGGAAGACATAACAGTTTAAGACACTCGATCTTCCGTTAAACATTAGTTAAATGTATTTACAATGGAAAAGAAGCTAATCTTCCCGAAGAAGAACGTTCAAAGTATTTCTTACTCAAAAAGAATGTAAAAGTGACATTTAAACGAAACAAAGACCTTTTGAAATTAGTGAACAGGAATTTATAATTTAACTGAACAGTAAATCTTGTTAGGTTTAGATTGTTTGTTGTATTTAAATGGAAACTAATAATTTCTTCTAAATAATGATTTTTGACAATAGAAATAATGATCAAATCACATTTTAATTTTAATTTAATTTCAGTAGTCGCAAAAAATTTGATTGTTTCAAGATTTTCATTCGACTTCCGTGATTCACTGATATTTATGCCCTGATACAGTTGAAAGTCCGCCCTCTGGAAATGTCCTCATATGACCAAACGTGTAGAGTGGCTTTTGTATACAAAATCGAGAAGACGACAAGCGAACCTTCGGTGCTCCAACCAGGTTGGTGGTACGGAGTATCCAACTAATGGGGTCGGGAAACCCTGATTCCAAACTAATGGTGCACACGAGCGCAAGTATTCTGATGGAACGAATAGAGTATAAACCTATCATGGGACTGCATCTTGTGAAACTATTGCACTGACTGGTGGAATAAACCTTTGCGATAAAAATTCAGGGAGAGGCCCTCCAAAAATACCAACTGCTTCGGTTTAGGTAGCCGGCTCATTCACAGTGATTTGTTTGACACATAAATACTTAAGTGCCTATTTTTATGAATGTTTATGTGCTTAAATAAGACAAATTTAATAAAAACTAATAATACATGATGATTATAATAAATCGAGTTATTGTCGCCTATCAACAAAACATGACTAAAACTGTAAAATCACATTGGCTGAGATGTAATTTAAGCTTTTGATTAACATTACCTACTAACAATTGATTTATTTGTAATAAAGATAGTAGAATATAGTCAAACTATTGACCATTAAGAAATGAACACAACATAAGTGGATAAATAAAAGCAGTGTGACAATATCAGTCAGTAAAAGTTGAAAAAAGATAATATCATGATATTTTAAGGAAATATCGCTTCGTGTTATCTACTACTCAAATTACAAGACACATTTTCTATTAATTAGAGGAATAGATGATCTTGTCAGAATTTGATAACTATTTAAATTATCAGATTTTAGTGTTCAATGGTGAATCTTTATGTTGTAAGAATGTTAGAGAGTTTGAATTATGACTTAATTTGACAACTGATACATTTTGTCATAGAATGAGAACAGTTAACCATGATCTTAAGATAGAAAGAATAACCTTGAAAGACAATCAAAAAGACTGAATGAACGCTTCAAACACTTACTTAATTTCATTTTTTACATTCAATGGATATGTTTTAGAATATGGAAAGCAGATTCTAGTTCATATAATATTCGTTAATACGTTAAAGTTCAAATCTCAATCAACAGATACAAACTCAGTATTTGTAAGTGGTAAGTAAAGTGATTCTTAACTAATTATTGTAGAATATCAGTATTTCAATGAAAATCAATTTATCTTTTATAAATTAGTCCGACTGAACCTGAGTTTACGAGCTCGTTTAGTAAGAATCTGTGACTATCAATCGGATACTATACATACCTATTTAAGTATGTATCATTATCTTTCAACTTTTAACAAGTTATACTCAGAAAAAATCGATTAATGAAGAATGGTGAAATGAAAATAAGAACTAGAGGCTTACTAAAAAAGATTACATAGAAATGATACAAATAAGTTTAAAACACGCTCCAATAATTAGGAAAAAAATAATCAGTTCCATATTCAAAATCTATCAACAACACTCCTTTCTATCGACTCTTTTTATTTTAGCACTTTTTAATATCTACTAAATTCAATGCATTCATCGCAATCGTAACATGGAATTTCAAATGAAAAAAGAAAAACAAACAATATACTACTAATTATTATTATTATTATTAATAATAATTTTTTAAACATATATACAGACAATGAAAGTAATGAAATGTTGGAAAAAAAAGAAGAGAATACTTGTTCTTCCAATTAAAACATTATATTCAAGAAGAAGAAAAAAAAACACTTTATTTTGTTCAATATAAAACAATTTATAATATATGAAACAATGAAAAGGTAAAATCACATTTGTAAAATTTTTCATCAACAAAGTGCATGATGATGTTGTTTAGTGATAATTGTTGGTAGGAAATGAATACTTCCATACAGCAGAGAATATGAAGATCATTTATTCATGAATTACAATATATATTTATAAATATATATATATATATATATATATATATATATATATATATATATATATATATATATTACATGAATATGATATATTAATATCCTGTTGATCGACTAGTTTCCATAGTTAAATTACCTTGTCTTGTTGTAGTATTTATCATATTTTCATTGTTACAATCAACATGTAAACTTTCAAAGATTGATTTAAATTGATATTTGTATTCTTTTAATAATTCTATTAAATGTTGTAAATGTTCTGTTAAACTTATATGATTATTATTACTGCTATTACTGCTATTATTATTATTATTTTCATCGGTAATTTCCAAAGAATCCAATGATTCCGCTGGTTCTAATGAATGAAGACGTTGTCTTTCTTTAGACCAATAATCAAATAAACCTTGATAACGTTGCATTTCTGTATAATTACCTAATTCATGATAAACACGTTGTAAACCACGATAATCATATTCTAAACCACTATATGTAGGACCGAATAAATTTAAACCTAAACAAAAACAAAAAAGGAGAAAGAAATAACAAGCTTATTTAACAATCAAATGAATTAAAACAATTTTAAAGATAAACTTCTCAATGATTCAGATAGCACTTTACTAGAATAAAAGCATAAAGAGAAGAAATAGATTGAGATAATAGAAAATGATGCAAAACAGTTAATGTCGAGTACTGGGTTAGGAATTATTCAGTTGTTAACAGTTAAGATTAGAATTTGTTGAAATATGTGCATCCTGTACGGATTGCCTTGGTATCAGACAGTTTGTTGTACGTTTTGTGAACTCCAAAAATGTTTGTTATAATCAATAGCTCAGTGGCGCTTGAAGCGAAATGCATTGAGTCCGAGTTCCAGTAAGAACAAGTAAGTTTAAGTTATATCGAACTAACAGGTATCAAATCAGTTCCACTGCTAAGCATAATCCACTTGTTTATTTTGTGAACAATGTCAATCCATAGATTGCTTTACTGGAAATCAGCTCTGTATGACTTGGAATCAATATTTATTTATTCAAGCATTATATTGTATATCAAAATACTAAGAAAACGGAATCAAAAATCCAGAGAGTGAAAAAATAGTAGTATTAAAAGGTGTGGTGAGCTAAACACGTAGGATATATTGTTCAATAGGACCAACAGAAATAGGATACGGAAAATATGATAAAATATACTTGGAGCCAAAACTTTTGATGGAGATAAGCAAAACGTAGGCATATAAGTTATTTTAGTTGACTACAAGTATATATATATATATATATATATATATATATATATATATAAAGAGAGAGAGAGGGAAAGATACGTGTAATATTATTAAACACAAAACTAAATATCATGTCCTCACCAATCAATAATTCAAATCCTCATTGATCACTATGAATCTGTGTTTACTATTAGTATGAATTAACAGAATGTGACCAGACCATAAAACTAACCACTGAAAATACACACACACTACTAATATTTTGTTAAATCATAATAACAACTTAATACATTTATTGACAATCCTATTTAGACATATATATGAATGGTGTGAAATAAGTAAACAAGAACAGCATGAAAAAACTCATACAATTTGATGATTAATGATATTAGGTGGTGATGTTTCTGTTATCATGTTCAAACAATGAAATAGAGATATTTTCAATGACTAATCAATATTTCCATTTTGCTTAAAGAATAATTCTTTTTTTGAAAAGTTAAACCCATGAATAGAACTTTGACTAACTAGAATTGCATTGAACTAGACAAACTATCAACTCAATTAAAAGAACTTCGGTTATTACACTGTGACACAAGAAATATATTGTAGAGCTGTGGAGGGACTTGTACTTATTTGTATTTTGGACTGGTACGGTTCGATTCAAGGAAGAAGCTGAAATTGCAGGTAGAGTTTACCATACATAGAACACACAGAATTCGGCTAGCAGTGGGATCAAAGAGACAGGTTTTGTTCTAGTCGGGACTGGCCAGCTGGATGTACCTGCATTCTAGAGTTGTTCATTCTGGGACTCGAACCCAATTCTGTTCGCTTCAAAGGCTGTAGCATCATCCGTTTAGCTAATAGGTTCAGATAGTCACTTACTTGTGCAACGGGTATGAGATTTAATTCAACTGAAAATGGTTTTGTGATACCCCATTGTTGATATTTTTGATTGAAATTTGATCAGTCTTAGTTGGTAAATGAGCATGCTGTTCAAATTGCCTTGACAATAGCCATATTATGATACAAGTTGATATAAAACAGATAGCATGAGGCTATCAGCGAAATCCAGATTAAAATTCAGTCAAAATTATCAACAACGAAATATTCCCAAACGATTTTAAACTTTATTGAAAATAAATTTAAAACAATGTCAAAATACACTAAGTTACATGCGATTTATTTATCTAAAGAATATTGACAACTGAATTCACTGAAGTGGTTAGTATTTAGAGTAGATTATTCAATAACTTAATGCACATCAATAATTTACAATACCAATAGATTTAACTAGATTAACTGGTAAATATAACCCAAAGTATTGAGTTATATTTTTTGCTACTTCCTGGTTGAACTTACATATTGCTGTGATCCAATTGACTTATATTGAGTGGAACAATTGTTCCTGGTTAGAAAATAGCAAAATACGTCATTTTACACAGATGATCCATTTCTCTAGGAAAGTCAGCTTTCCAAAAACGATATAGAAAATGTTTACCCGATAATTAGGCCACAGCTCTGACAGTTTATAAACTCTCAATGTCGAAGTATAAAACCTGGAGATTTAGTAGAAGAAAGCTAACTACTTACAAAAAGACAGTGAGTGATCAACCTCAATCAGTAGCTCTGTAGTTTCTGAAGTCACATTTTCTAACATGACGAGACCATCAAGTCTGTAAAAATTAAAGAAATACCCATCAACAATTGTAAAATTCCAGCAACACTGAAGCTAACTTCCACATATCTACTATGATTCTTAAAGTTGTCAATTATTTGAATAAATAACTGTGTTTCAAGTGCTATTCTTAATCGACAAGCAATTTTACAAACATATTTCTATGAATTGGTTATATACCAAACAAAAAAAACATTCAATTCATTTCGACTGATTGAATACACACGCAAAAGAATTCAAAGAAATAGTATATCATAAAAACAGGTAATTATAACTCAAGTGTTTTACATTTCTTAAGTATCATTAACAATTAAACTGTTAATTCTATGTGCATAGTTCACTTACTAATTTGTACAGAACGTAAATACAGTTGTTCAGCTTCTTTAAATCGATCCATATCATAATTGTATAGACTAGCTAAATGACCAACACTTAAACCAACTTCAAAATCTGTTGGTCCAAGTAAACGTTCTTTAATTTCAATAGCTCTTAAATGCATAATTTCTGCTTCCTTCATTTTTTTTTTCAAAAATTGAAATGATAAACAGATGTAGAGAGAGAGAGAGAGAGAGAAGAGAAAAGACGAAACAATTAAATGATAATTTGTATAGATTAAGAATTAAAAAAAACAAAACAGAATATGAACAATAACGTTACAATATACTGTATAATAAATATTAAACGGAAAGCAATTATCAGCGTTACAATATTCTGCTCATTGGTTGAAGACACTGGTTGTTATGGGTGAAAACCAACCTATCTTCTTCTTCTAAATATTGAGCTTCACTATTTGTTCTATCAATTTACATTTTCTTATCGAATTATATTTACTGAAGTTTAAACTTTCTTACCATAATCAATAACATTAGTATTTCGATTTATTTGTCATTTGTTAATTTGTTAATTTCATTTCGTTGTATTGATATAGAGAGTATGACAATAATTTGGGCTAACCTACTTTTATACCAGGCTGTATGTTGATTTATGATGAATAAAACAGAATGCATTCATAAATATGAACTAACTGGTTTATTTTATTCATCAAAAACTTAGAGTTAGAATGAACTAATGACTGTTAACAAGGATTTAATTTAATTAAAGCTGTAACTTTATAATAGTAGAAGTATTTGGATGTTAACGGTTGGGTTACTATTGGTTTGAATTGATATCATTTTTTTTGGCTGTAGTAATAGGGATAAACAATGTCATGGACACTTTTAAAAAGAAATGCACATAACTTTAAAAACTAAATACAAGAATTGTGATTTGTTTACTGAGTTTTATTAACCTGCACTATCTAAAATTAAAGATATTCACCGATAATGCATGAAATAGTAGTGTCTAAATGATAAAAAGTTACAATTTTAAACTTTGCCCAAAAAACAGACAATAATAACGTACTAGAGCTTTGTGTCATGACTAGTGCACACAAAACAATTTCGTTTGTAAACCAAATATCAGTATGAAATGGTAATTAACTCATCTGATGATAAGATACACATGTATTTATTTACTTATTGAGGATTTGCAAAAAAGAAGTCCGTTTACCGGCTTTTCCTAATGTAGCCCCCTCTCAGAAGAAGGTTAAAGCTCCAAAATATTTCGGCTATGAATACATGTCAATCTTTTTATCAAATAGTTATTCTGGTTAGCGTATCACAACTTAAACAACATTGAAATAAACTGTCTTAAATTGGTGTCGCTTACGATGATTTGTATATATATATGTGGTGACGTTTGTGTAATTTGACAAAAAGTATACACAACACAAGACATCAAATTGTAGAAATAAAGAATATTAAGTATTCGTCCACTCTCTCTCTATGGATAGTGTATTTTATGATTATTCAGAATTCAAAATATCTTAGTAGAAGAGTATTACCTTCCAATAAATTTACATAAATATATTATTTATTATACAATGAACAAAAGATTAGAAAGATTGTCTAGAATTACGTGTTATGTTTCTTTTTCTAATCAATAATATCATACATAATACACCATAAATGACTAGTAATGACGATTTAAATTTATTTTGTTGATTAGTATCAATAATATTTCAATATCAGATCAATATGCTTGTTTTAAATTTTATGGTAATTTTTTCTAAAAATAATTCATTGTTGTTAATAAAGTAAAACAAGAATTGCACCTAATAATTAAATGTTAATTTTATACATTATTGAACGATTCACTAAAATTCACTTTCAATAGTCCTTTTTACATTTTAAGCTAATTTTATTTCTGGTCCAGTTTTGACGTATTATTTATTCAGTTAAATAAAAACAACTCTTTCTCTTCTAACTAATTGTTCCTCTATGTTTATATCAGTTTACTGAGGAATGTAGGTCAATTATCCAATGTTATAAAGTGATATTTACATAGCTGAACTATTCTTATCAATTCAGGCAAGTGATTACAATCTACAACACTAATACACAATTCTCCTTCATTGTAATAAAATATACTTTTTTTGTTTGAAAAAACACTTAAAATTCGAACACTATCTACTAATTCAAAAGTAGTAGAAGCTAATGATCAAGCAATTATTGTCAAACATTTAAGCTAATAGGTATTTTGTAGACGGTAACATACGGAATCACATAATTAGAACACTCAAGTCAGGTGTTACATAGCCCTAACTTTGAAAAATTTTAGTGAATAAAATTATTAGCGATTTTTAGTTTGATACTGTTCGAAGCTATCAGTACTAAACAGGTATTTAAAATGCCACAAGTGGCTAGTGTTGACAATCTGCACAGAAAGCACAAACACCAACTCAGACTTATAAAAAACAACGAGATAATGCAAATAATTATAAATTAAATTACATTACAAGTCATGGTGATGATATATTTTTGCTGGTTAGGATGATAGTCGTTTTTCAACGTATAAAATATGTATGGTTAAGAGGGAAAATATAGAGTTTATAAATAATAATTATCAGAATGTACAAAACACAAATGAAACAATCCTGATTAAATTAAGTAATTTTAGTAATAAAAAACACGAGGAATTTAATGACAGTAGTAAAATATTTTGAGGGTATTTGCATAACATGGAATTTTAGTGAACAGTAGTATATCTGACAGAAAATGTTCGTTCCCGCATTGAACCAGTCAACTGAAGAGACAATCAAACTATACATCATGATTATAAATGTTTCCTACTTTATTTTCACAAGTCTAAAATGGGTGGTATACTATGTACAAAATTTAGTAATAAGCGATCACTCACAGCCTCATCGTAATTGTTTAGATAAACAAAAGCTCCGGCCTACAGAAACATTACGTAAAAAGAAGGACCTTTATCACATTGAAGATGCATAGGTATTGGATTACAGATTACAGAGATCAATGTTCTGATTTTGTGAAAGAAATAATCTTAATCTGTATCAACAATGCACATAGTTTATTTATTTGAAACTTAAAAAAAGATTCTTTTGCATTGATTATGTATTATTGTCTTATTGTTGTTATAAGAATTCAATGGGAATCTTTTTATTATTTATTATATGTGAAGCACTGATTTAATTGTTGTATAAGCAAGAGATTTTTTTCAGCAATGAATATTGTAATGCTCACGTAAACAAAAGTTATATCATATCGTGAATGGATCTATGGAGTTGTATGTAAATTTGTAACGAATCAAAATAAAATTGATTGATGAAAATAGTATAAAATCTATTCTATTTCTTCTTATGCATTTTGTTTATAAACTAACTAGAATAATAAGTGACAGTTGGTGTTGATTGATCAATGATATATTAGTTGTAGTCGCATTGATCAGTTAGATAATTTCTGTTCGTTTAACAAATTCACAAGTAATCCACACTGAGCATGATACACTTGCTTCTATCTAGATGCTTGTAAAGTATTTTATTGATGACTAAAAGCCAGAAAATCACATATCTTTTAAAGTCTCTTAAACAAAAAAGTGAGTGGAGTAAAAAATAAAATCTTAGCTACGCTATTCGTAATCTTTCATCCAAAGATAAACTATACGCCACAAGCAATTACGTGGCGAAAAAATAATAATAGTTTATTGAACACATTGAACTATGGTTGATGATATTGATACGATGCTGAATCCTAGAGTAAGCGAATATTCCAGGTAGAAACAATATTTCACTCGGTTTATTTCATCACTGAAATTGCAGATTTTATGGTCTATAGAAAATTTACAACGCAAGTATACTGTTAAGACTTGTAGTTGCTTAAACGAACTTATTTACAATAAGTCCAATCTTTTCAGATCAGACTCACTCAGTTTAATCTGAATGTAGTCTTAGAGGCAAAGATTAAAGTATGAACTCTTTTGACTTAGGCAGCAAAATGTATGAGAAGAAAGGTACCAGCTTACTTTATTATTTTGCATCGATTGGTAGAGTCGACCAAGATTACCAAAATGTTTTGCAGTTTGAATATTCCATAATCCGTAGGTCTGTCAAAAAAAAAAACGATAAGTTTTAAAACTAAGATTTCATATTAAACAATTCAATTTACAACGAACAGTAGCTTATAATCATCGTTGTTACCAATGAATTTTACAATATTTGCTAAGAAACACGCCTTCATACAATAAAAATGGATTTATCTTTCATTTCTGTTATACTGTTTAAATGTAATTAATTCATGTTTGGGAATGCGCAATTCATTGAGAAAATTCCATTAAAAACTAATCATAACAAGATTTTCAAATTAAGCATTGGAAAATTTTTGAACATACATATATATATGAGCATAATGTTTAACCTGGAATTCCTAAGTTTGGTGGGTGACTACTTATGGGGACATGTCAAAACCTTTTACAAATATACCTAAGATATACATACTGTAGGGGGAAATTTCCCAGATTTTCAAAGTTTCTTTTGCATTCTAAATTGTAAGAGGTTGGTGGTAACAGAATTATGGATGATAATAAGAATGCTTACTTATTAGTCAGAATTTTCAAAAAGTGGAACAATTTATTAATACATAAACATAATAATATGAAACATGAGAAAATTCTCCGGGACGATTACAAAAAAGCACAAATCAGCCCCAAATTTAATCATATTTACATGCATACATTGTAAAACTTGATGGAAAAATAAAAAATATTAATCACTATTACAAAGTGACATTAATCATAGGGATCATTGACAGAAAAAATACAAATAATTTTGAATCATTTAGAAATACACTGATCTTATTATGCAAACATCTAAGCAAAACAAAACAAATCGAACAATACAAACTAATTAATAAAGTGTGAAAAGAGAGTAAACATTTTTCAAAACAATGCAAACATTGATTCATGTTAAATAGTACTAGGTATTGTTAAAAATGGTATATAGATATCATATATCATATATAATCGGATGAGTTTTAAAGTCGGAATAATTAGGAATGATGCTAAGTACTTGTCTAATCTTCCTGGGGTTCTGACTGGTCATTTGTGGGACGGATCGGCACGTGATATGGGCGGTCGATCGTTTCGGCATATACCTTGGACGTATATTTACTGAGTCAGAGGAAAACAATCATGGCAAAATCTGATCGGTGTTGGATACCTTGATTGTCTAGCTCTGTTTAGGCAGTTTACCTTAAGACATGAAATTCGTAGATTCGACTCCATGTATGGTAATGACTCCACTTTAGGGAGGAGTCATACGTAGAAACGAACCGGTAAGACTACAGTTTATTGACGAACTAATTACATTTGGGACAGCACTACTTGGACTTTTGTGCGAAATTCATGAATTCATACCGCTGAAAAGTATCCTTGTACTATTGCCGATAGCACATCAAAATGGAAGACCTAACGCTGTTGTAAATCTACCTTTTAGTCTCAATTTCGAACATTGTTACGAGTTAATTGTATAACGTAAATTCCTGAAGATCTTCACACCAGCCAAAATAGGATCTCTTAAGTTACTATTCTTCGGCAAAATGTACTACCAATACTCTTAATGTTTCATGTTTTGAACCAAAAGTTACAGAGACAGATACAACGCAGAACTTCGTACATAAGTACATCAGTTCATGATGCCATACCACATCAGTAAAGAGACGCAACTGTCAGCTCAAATCCAAGAGTGATTGCGATAGTAGAATTATTAGCAACAATGGAGAAGATTAGGGAGCGAAGATATAATTCAGTGAGATAAAGTTAGAAAGAGAAAGATAGAGATTATGAGGAATTCAGAAGATTAGAATTAAAAAGCACACAAAGAGTTGATGCACCTGCGCCATTGCAAACAATTCTGAGCCATGTCGTTCAAGGTCTCTAATCATTGGTGACTACGCCTCGCGGACCCCAACCAGATAGCCTATATCTACCAACATGACTCAGTCCACTTGTCAGTGACTTCATGGATTTCTGCCATGTTTTGGCCTGGCCGCCCCTAACTTTCTTTCAACCTACTCCTACACTACAAAACATAGCTCGTCGCGGCGGTCGGTGGTTAGGCATACGTAACACATGTCCCAACCACCTCAACTGATGAAGTTTCAATGCTTCATTTATTAATTTGCCATCCTTACCTAGAACTCGTTTCCTAACGATAGCATTGCTTACTATGCAGTATTAAAGCGAGGTTTTCTGCCAAAAAAGCTAAAAGCTGAAAACGCACTTAAAACACAGACAGAAAAAATCTAAACTCATCCAACTATATACATAAGCAGAGTGAAAGACAACTTTAATACATCAATGTTTAGTTTCAAAAAAAATGATTAAAGTCATATCGAAACCGATAAATCATTCAGTCAAATAATGTTGACGTATGTCATACAAAAGGAATCAAAAACTGTGAGAGATGTCAGGAACGAATTGATTAAAGTTAAGCTGATTAGTCGATATTTAACCAAAAGTTATAAAATTTATGCAATTCTCAGATGAAGTTAGAAAAAAAATATCCGTAACCTAATACTATAGCTTACTCGTTCACAAAGTTCTAACGATTCCATATGCAGATCACGTGCCAACTTTAGATCAGATCTTGTTCTAGATGGGTCATTATCATCGATGGCTATTTCTTCAATTATCAAAGCTAGAAATAAATGATATAAAAAAGCATTAACGTTAATGTTTCTTTATCAAAGGCTATGCAGATATTCGATAAGGCTGAACAAGGAAATTTTCTGTTGACAATCAAAAATAAAGATACTTATATTTTAGTAATCGGAATAAAACAATGTAAAGAAACCACGAAAGAGGAAGACAGTATGCAAGTAACAGCTACAAAACAAATTTGTAAGAAATACAAAAGAATAGATTTGTTTCGTAATCGTTTACATTTGCTAGCGATCCGAAAAATTATTCAGAATTAGGTAGCATGCACAAAATTGGAAGGATGGTATTTTAAATGTTCAATGGAGTGATCCAAGTTTAACAATCGTCATATGCAGTCTAAAAAACTGTAGACAAACAATTTAAAACGAATACGATGTGATCTATAAAATATGGATACAGTGTTTGTTGAGTTGTTCACAGATGGTATGGAAAATAGTGACTATGAGTTTTGCTAAAAAAAAACTAGCTACACCATAACCGAAGTATTAGTTCATGAATGTAACTTTGAATTAATTGCTAGTAATGTAAAACCTATGATACAACCCACTTGTTTAATGCAAAGTAAACTTGCGTGCAGTTTAATTCTGTAACCCACCGCTTTAGAGTCATGTGCTTTAATCGTTATATCATGACTTTTAAGCTCATAAAAGTAAATTGCTCTCGCTGACTAAAAAATCATGAAAATTTAACCTGAATACAAACGTATTTGGTGAGAAATCAATTATTTACTTGAAGAAATTTTGTGAAGATCGGTTAATTCTGCGGATTGGAAACATCACAGAAAAATCTTACACATAATTAATCAACCAATGTTAGAGCAGTGGGCGGCGGTTTCGTACTGATATGGGACTCATCAGCAGTGCGTATCCAGGTTTCGAATGGTGCTCTAACAATGATTGATTAACTATTTTAAATGTGTAAAAACAATAATCTCCATAACTCTAATTGAAGAATAATCTTAGTTAGAACAACATTGAAAATCGAGGAGTATTGGACAGCTGTTTAGTCATAGTATAAGACTCTTCAACGATGCATTTACTCAGGACCTCCAAGTCCCATAGTGATAGCACCTGCATAAGAAACAGTGAGGAGGAATCTAATGGTATACTCTAGACTTCAATTAGTTTGTGATACAGCGCGGTGACCACCACATATAACTGTTGACAAACTGCTTCACGCTCGAAATAGTGAGAATCGCTTATTTCTCTCAACAATTTACTCAATCTGACTTTGATTTTGTTCTTATTGGCTTCTTAATAGATGACTAAACAATGAAAAATGATGTAAAAGTGTTCAGTTAGACTGTGTAAATTAATCGTGATGGTAAAAAGTCAGTCAGTCAGTCAGTTGCAACGTAGAACTTCGCACGTAAGTACATCAGTTCATGTCGCCATACCACATCAGCACAGAGATATAATTGTCAATTCAAATCCAATAGTAGAAGAGGTAGTAAAGGTATTAGAAGTAATCGTAGACGTTAGAATTAGAAGATATTATTCACGAAGTGTGATTCAATGAGATAAGTTTAGAAAGTAAAAGCTAGAGGTGTTGAAGAACTCAGAAGATTAGGATTTGAGAGAACACAAAGAATAAATGCACTGGCGCCATTGCGAACGATTTTGAGCCATGTCATTCAAGGTCTCTAACCATCGATTATTATCATCTCGCGGACCCCAACCAGGTAGTCGACAATTACCGACATGGCTAAGTCCACTCGTCAATGACTTCATGGATTTATGCCATGTTTTGGTTTGACCGCCCCTAGCTTTCTTCCAACCTATTCCTACACCACAAAACAAAGCTCGACGAGGTAGTCGGTGGTTAGGCATACGCAACACGTGTCCCAACCACCTCAACCGATGAAGTTTCACCACTTCATCGATTGATCTGCCATCCTTACCTAGTACCCGTTTCCTAATAACAGCGTTGCTCACTCGGGTGTCCCACGATATACGAGCAATGCTTCGAAGACACCTATGATCGAAAACCAATAACCGTCGAGTATCTTCTACTCTCATTGGCCATGTTTCACAGCCATAAAGTAAGACAGAGCGAACCACTGCGCAGTACACTCGTCCTTTAGTCAGCAAACGGATATCTCGCCTACGCCATAAGTGACGCAGGTTGGCAAAAGCCAATCGAGCCTTCTGTATCCGTGCCGAGATTTCGTCAGTCACCAGGCCATCAGCACTGATGAGACTCCCAAGATAGGTGAAGCGGTCTACACGTTCGACCACTTCACTCCCTATCACTAGTTCAGGTGCCGATGACACCCAGTCTTGAAGCAACATTTTGCATTTCGAGGGCGAAAACCGCATCCCGAACATGCTTGCATTGTTGCTTAGGGTAGTCAGAAGACTCTGCATTTTTTCAGCGTCTTCACCAAGTAGGACAATGTCATCGGCATATTCTAAGTCAATAAGCGAGCCACCTGGTAAAAGGTCTACTCCTGAAAATTCAGACGAGGATAAGGTAAGTTCTAGGAGCATGTCTATGATAAAATTGAACAAGAATGGAGAAAGTGGACATCCCTGACGGACACCACTTGATGTAGAGAATTCCGGTGACAGTTCGCCATAAGCCCTCACTCGACCAGTGGTGTTCGAGTATAGGGCTTGTATAAGGTTAATGTACTTTTCTAGTACACCTTTCAATGACAGACACTGCCACAGAACCTCACGATCCACTGAGTCAAATGCCGCCTTAAGGTCCAGGAAAACAACTATTGTAGGACGCCTAAATGTGTGTCTGTGTTCCAGGACCTGTCGTAGTGTGAAAATGTGGTCTATACAGCCACGTCCAGGTCGAAAACCAGATTGGTTTTCCCGAGTTTGCTCTTCACGAGCTTTCGTTAAGCGTCGAAGTATTATTGAGGCCAATATTTTAGATACTATGTTAGTTAGGCTTATTCCCCTGTGATTGTCACAAGAAGACTTCTGTCCTTTCTTATAGATTGGGACAATCAAGGATTGAGACCAGTCGGATGGGATTGCGTCCAGTTCCCAGATTCTACCTAAGATCTCAGTCAACCTAGCTGATAAAACTGGACCTCCATCCTTAAATATCTCAGGGGTAAGTCTATCAGGACCTGCAGCTCGTCCTCGTTTCAGATTTCCTAACGCTTTCTCAACTTCATTAAGACTAGGGGGACTTAGGTCGATTTGCCATTCAGGATGACTGGGGATCGTGGGTAACCGAAGAGTGGCTCGTGGCCAGTTGAACTGATCCCTAAAGTGTTCTGCCCATCGATCCAGTCTCCTGGATTGAGAATGGATAATAAGACCATCCTTTTCCGAGATAGTCTCACTCACATTCGGGTTCTTAATACAAGTTTCTTTAATAAGGCGGAAAAGTTGTCTACTGTTGCCGATCGCCGCTGCCTTTTCCATCGCTTTTGCTTTCGCCACCCACCACTGCTCGCGATCGTTACGTAGGCTTTTCATAAGTCTGCGCCTAAGTTGACTTCGTTCTTCATCATGCTCAGAGCCAGGTGGGATGAGTTTTCGAGCATCCATCAGATCGGTAGATGCTACTGAGATCCACGGTTTCATTCTAGCCTTATGGTCAACCTCACTAGCAGATATCACTGCTATTTCCACAGCCTTTTTGATATCATTCCATCCTGCCTCCGGATGGGAATCGCTTAAATGGTCGCCTAACTGTCTTTCTAGTTGTTCCTGAAATATATTTTTCGCCTTATTATCATTAAGCAAAACCCTAAGAGGCTTTCTTACGGTGTCTTTCCTACGTCCAGTAAGCTTCAAACAAATACGCGCTCGCACTAGGGCATGATCTGAATCCAAACATGTGCCCCAGAACGAGCGACAGTCCTCTATCGAACCCCTCCATCGGTGGCTGATGGCGATGTGATCTATTTGAGTCCAACGTTGAGACGACTTTGGAGGTCGCCAGGTCAACAGGTGCTTTTTCTTATGCTTCAAATTAGTGTTTGCTAAGAATAGGCGGTTGTCTGAGCATGTTTGCAACAGACGGTCACCATTGTCTGTTCTCTGAGCCGCGACACCATAACATCCACCTAGGTGTCTCTCCTGCTCACTTAGTCTACCTACTTGAGCATTACAGTCACCAGCCATTATTACTATATCAGAGCGCCTAGCTTTTTGGAGGAGGTCCGAAAGCTTTCTGTAAAACTCATCCTTAACCTCGTCTGAACTGCATTCAGTGGGGGCATAGGCAGATACGATGAAGAGGCAACGGCGATTGTCCCTATCTTTCCGAGTCCTTACTGTCCCGTTTAGTCGGACAGCGCACAATCGACTATCTATTGGGATCCAGTCAAGGAGAGATTGTTCTGCCCTACGACTCAATGCTATGCCTACGCCAGCAAGACCCCGGGAAGCAGCATCAGGGCTACCGGATACACGAAGAGTAAATCGAGCTGCTTCTTTATTTTGACATGGTGTGGTCAAGTGTATGACGTGACTCGGATCCTGTATGCGCGTTTCCGAGACGCAGCATACATCGATGGCACGAGATTCTAAAGTCATAGCTAAGGAAGCCTGTTGCCCTATTTGACACAATGTCCGTACATTAAATGCTCCAACATGTAGTCTAGAGCGAGGTTTAAGGAGACCAGGAACGACCTTTCGCGAACTCGTATCGTCTGCATTAGCTGTGCAATGTGATGAATGAATGTAAGAAGAGTTAGTCGTGGAGATAAGAGAGACGTATTAGGGGGTGTAGGAAGGATTTGATTTTGACCAATTTGGTCTCGCGTGCTGTTATGGGTATGAGGGCGGTTGTCACTTCCCGGCTGCCCACACCGTGGAAGGTTGTTTCTTGAGGAACCTGAAAAGGAAAATAGATTAGTGTTGGTGCGTGACCGCAGAGTCCAAGGGACAACTGCTTGAGGCCGGTCACGCACGGCCTTTTTAAGAAATGTTTTTTGAGGATTAGCTCCGTTCTTAAAGGCCCTTAGTGGGCACCCTTACCCAAGGAGACGGAAATCCGTGAGTTAGGGGAGGTGTGACATTTTTAGGGCCGACCTTTTCTAACCCTTCCTTCCTTGTGAGAAGGCAGCATCGCTGCAGACGCTGGTTGTCCAAGGGAAACACCTTACTGCTGTCACACCCCTCTGCAGTCAGCAGTACGACTTCGCCCTCAGACCTTGGGTAGCTGCTTTTAGTCTCATCGTTCTCCAATCGACCTGTCTGGCATGGTAGGACCTGCAGGAACATATGTTCCAGCCAGTATAGCTCGGTTGGATCATCACGATAGGCAAGCCCGACCACCACGTCAAGGTAGCAGCCACGGTCGGATGGTAAAAAGACTTGAAAGAAAATTTATTTCAATTAGCAAACAGGCGTACGTTGTTCATATTAAGACGTTCATGATGAGCACTTCTTAATATGCGGGAAATTGTCAAGATACAGAAAAGCAATTACAAGAAACTTTTAAAATGGCAAAGGACAGGAAGATATATTACAATTATATAAATCTACCCCTGTGGACAGGGGTGATTTTACATTGACTTTCATGAGAACCAGATACTATGGAGGCATGAACAATACATCTTGATTCGCTGGCGCAACTAGCACGTTGGTTGAATTATTCGCACCATTTACATATATAAATATATACTGATTAGTTCCAAACTATCATCCAGTCGATCAATATACACAGCATGAATTTCGACCCAATCCACTTATATGACTGACAAAGTTATGATTACTACCGATTTCGACATGCATTACAGCGTTCCGATGACAATGGTCCTTGAGAATGTTGAAAAACAATCACCAGCATCAGTAAAATCGGTTCTCCAGCGGACCAGAAGTGTATATGAACAGTCAGAAAAACTTGCCAAATTAATGCTAAACTATCCACAGTGTTTGTAAACTGAACCTCCGGTATTACAGGAAATAGCTCATGAGGCTAACAAAAATTTGGGTTAGGTTCTAGTAACGACGATTAGGGCTGATTGACGGAAACACCTTGAATCAAAATGTCTCTAGATTATTCAGTAAAATGTTAGATAGAGGAAATATAGCAATCTAGGTTTTGTATTGTTGTTTGATGCAAATTCTAAGTTTACACACATTAAATATAGTTGTTTGCCAACCAAATCACGCTATCCTGACCTTAGATATCAGGTGATTGTTTACCTATGCATGCCACACTCCAACAGGTCAAATATATATGCAATTGTGGTGTCCATAACGTACGATTGATTAGAAAAGAATTCTTCATTAAAATTACTGTCATTAAACTATCTGTGCACTTTTAACGAAGTTCACTCGCTGGAACATGAAACGCACTACACATAACATTTAAGTAAGCGAATTTCTGAAGCTTTGAACCATGCTCATTGTATGAGAGTTAGCGATAGTAAACAGCTCTCCAGCTGACATGAGACTCGAAACTAAAACTTTATGACTAAAATCTAAGAGTTATTATCACCTAAGCACTATTTTGCTAAATTTTTATTGAGTAAATGACTAGTATTGTAACTACCAACTAATCATGACGTAGTATGTTAAAGAGCTGAATAACCATTTGGTATTTATTTACCAAGTACATGCAGATAGTATGCTCCAATGAGGGTAAGTAAGTTTTGAAGAGTATGTAGTACCTCTACATACATTTGAGTGTGTTCGTATTTAATTTGATGAAGCCTTTTGATCAACTTATTTAACTGAGGCATTTGTATAGCAATAACTTAGATGTACTATTGGCTCTTATTTTGGTTGGATTTGCATGAACAAGTATGACTGAACATTGCTTACCGCCAAAGTACATACTCATTCCACTCGCTTTAATGTTAGCCTCTTAAATAGTTCGATGACTCATCCATTTTCCTAGGTTTATATATGTACATTCTAATTCCATTCATTCGCAAACTCGCCCATTCGGCACTCGCATATTATTTTTGATTCATGTGTCAGTGGTTTAGTGGTCTATTTGTGAGGCACCAAAAAATGAACGTATTCAACAGTTCGTATTCCTCTTTTGATTTATAAATCGTGAGTTATTTAGTAACGGTTGTCTGGACGAGCAGCATACAAAGTCTAAAAAAAATACCGAATACCAACCGCCACGAAACTAGTGAGGCACCGGCCACCACAAGTATTCAGCACAGACATATCAATCTTATGACTACCTGTTCGATTTCAATCCAACTTCAACTAAATGGTCATGTATTTTTTTGGTTAGGATGTGTATTGTTTTTTGAAAAATAAAACTGAATTAGCTAAAAGAGATTTTAGGCTTTCAAAATATGGTCGCGATATAGCATTGTCAGTAATTTACACATATTGATGAGAATAATACTATTCACAAATAGAAATCTGAACTAATCACTTACAAAGGTGAAGGTTTATTGTTCTAGGCTATTCGTTTACAACAATATATATATATATATATATATATATGTATTTAATTACTCGACAGAGTAGCATTATTACATTGCATCAGGTGAATATCTTACACCATGAAACAATTCATAAACTATAAAATACAATTCTTTTCTAGATACAACTAAATAACTATAATTTACCTTTGACTCGATTAGCTGAGGCTGCTTGCATACAAACACCATAGTTTAAGCGACGAAGCATTAGGCCAGCTATTTCAGCGCAATTCAATGCATAAGTGAAATCACCTGATGTATATTCAAGGACATAATGTGCATATGCTATAGCTTCCAAAGCTAAAGCAACCATAATACTAGCACCGGGTAAATAATTCAGTATTAATGCTAAAGCAATCTGGCAAAAGAAGATAAATAAATAGGCGAACTATGAATAATTAATCAATAAAAATAATAATAATAATAATAATAATAATAATAATAATGATAATAATAAAATGACCAGAAGAAAAGACACAAGTAGCATTAAGAGTCAAATTGAAATAAATGATAAACTAATGAACAGATCCAACTCATCAACTAAGTAAAACAAAATAAAATACATGAAAATATCAGACAAAGATTATAATGAGTTAGCTGAGCATTCAACTGTCCAGTATTACTGAACAATTGTGCAATTTGTTATACAATAATCTTTGTAGATGGACTAAGAAGAAAAAAACAGTCCAAAAATAAAAGTTGTGTTTAAAAATTAATATTTGTGTGACAATACTTTTCTCCATAACTTTTATAAGATGAACAGTTAAGTCCAATACAATGGATTATTGCTTTATGTTCAATTCAAATTTACAATCATATTTCTACTTTGACAATGATCCCAATGAAAATACAAGTATCAGTAATAATTCACTTGGATTCAGAACAAACTTTTAATTTAATATAAATATTTAGTGATTCATTCATTAGATACTTGTGGTATGAGGCACAGTCTAAGTTCAAATAGAAATTAGACCATATGGTTGTTCAATTAGAAGAAGACACGGCAGGATTCGAACCCAAAGACTTAGTGGCAAAAAGTCAAGTGAGCATTATCGATTCAAAGCAAGCGAACAGGTAATAGTATAGAATAGAATGAGATGATATGGAGTGAACTGTGAATAAAAATGTCGAAAATGACTACAGATTAACACGTAATCTCAATCGAGGTAGTTAAGAAAATATATTTTAAAAAGTGTATTAATCACATGTGCATATACATTTAATTTTATCACTAATCCCCATATGAATCAGTACAAAATGATAACGAAGTAGAATTAGTATGGTATATTTAATAATCGTATGATTTTCAAGTGTTCTAAATTACGGAAAAACAAGTACAAACTTGTATACCTTTCTCATGCAAATTAACCACATACATATATATTTACATAGGAATAACTATGTTTGAACAAAAAAACACTAAAAATAAGCATTATGTATATGAAGAAATACAATCGTGACTGAAAATTAAACATTTTTCTTATACGACTTTGATAATCATCATCATCATCATCGTTGGATAATCGAATGAAATGATTAATTTATTATAAAGATAGAAATAGAAAAAACATTCATCACACTCAATAATCCAATAGTTCTAACTGCCACACTACATTAGTACAAAGATTCAATTGTCAATTCAAATACCATAGTAGTAGAGACAGTAGAAGTATTCGTACTAATGGAGAAGATTTGCTTTCGAAGATATTATTCAAGAAGTATAATCTCGCAAACGATTTTCAGCCATTTCATTTAAAGTCGCTAACTATGAGTTACTATTGTCTCGCAGACCCCAACCAGTTGGTCTACATCTACTAAGATGGCTCAGTCCAGTTGTCAGTGACTTCATGGATTCGTGCAATGTTTTGGTATGGCGATCCCTAGCTTTCTTCATTACTTCATATATTGATCTGGCATTCATACCTAGTACCTGGTTCTTAACAACAGCATTGCTTACTCGATTGTCTTAAAATATTCGAGCAATGCTTTGAAGACACGGATGATCGTATACCAGTAACCGACGAATACCTTCTACTCTTACTGACCGTCTTTCACACCCATACAGTAGGACGGAGAGAACTGATGTGCCATACACTCATCCTTTAGTTAGCAGACGGATATTTTGCCAACACCATACGTGACACAAATTGTCAAAAGCCAATCAAGCCTTATGTATCCGTTCTGAAATCTCGTCGGACACCAAGTCATCAATACTGATGAAACTCCCAGGATAAGTAACGCGGTCGACACTCCACTCCCTATCACTTGTTTCTGGAGGAAGCCGGAAAAGAAGTTCGATTAGGGTTGTTCTTGAAGACCTAGGAGTGTGACTGCAGAGACCAGGGGACAACTGCTTCAGGCTGATAACACAATGCCCTTTTATGAGAAGTTTCTAAAGTATTAGCTCCGCTCTTCAAGTGACTTTGCCGCCGTGGACAGAATTCCATGAGGTAAGTTGAGGTGTTGTCCGAGACAAACACTTTACTGCCGTCACACCCCTCTACAGTGAGCAGCACTTCGCCCTCAGAGCGTAAGTTGCTGCTTTTAGTGTTAACGTTCTATAATCGATCAGCTTGGCATGGCAAAACCTACAGGAACACATGTGCTAGCCAATATAGGCCGGGTGAGTCATCACAATAGGCAAGCCTGACCACCATATCAGAGTAGCAGCTACGGTGGGGTCTGTACTAAAAAAATTTCACAATTGAATCATATTATGTTTTATGCGTATGAAAAATACTTTAATGTTTTAAGATATTAATAATTCATATGAAATCCTGATGTTGATAAAACTAATAAATCTAAATCAAAAGAGTACTGAATATGTGATTTTATTCTAAATAATTTTAAACTATTTAATAAGGAATAGAAAAAAACTGATCTATACTAGTCTAGTAAGTTAATTGAAGTTAGAAACAAGGAAAGACTAGATGGAAGGAAATAGTTAAAAAACTAAATAGTCAATTCACAGATGTAAAAACAATTATCACCATTATTATCACTATTATTATTATTATTATTATTATTATTATTATTATTGTATTAAAAAACAACAAACCAACAATACTGTTTTAGACTAGATCTTTATCCGACCTATATCTTGTTGTGACAGATATATACAAAAGGAATTGTGAATCATAATAATAACAATGATTATTATTATTATGCAATACAACAAACGCACAATGATAGTTATGTCTGTAGATCATATCTATGCCACATGATAGATAATCTAAGATAAAGAGGATGATACACGGTTTAACAAACAATGGCAAAACGAACCCGATAAATTTTTGCTGCTTTACGCGTTTTATCTGTATTTAGCATTAAACAACCATATTCAATAAGCAAATTGGCATACACCAAATTACGATAACCATAAGCAGATCTGTTGATAAAGAGAGAGAGAGAGAAAGAGAGAGACATACAGATTATCTTGTATGGGTGTAGAGAGTAATAAAAAGATACCGTATACAATATAAAATTTTGATCGAAAATCCTGCAAAACTAAGCTAATATCTCAAGGTTATTTGGTCGGAAAAAACAGGGCGTTAAACACAGAATATTTGTTATGATAAAAATCTAACTGAAATGCTTCACATTTGATTTTATAAAATAAACAAACCGAATAAATAACTTTGTGTTTGTAATGTGCAGTTATCCAGAATTCAGACACCAGTAGTAAAAGCTTTCTTTCGTGGGTGTGCACTGCTGATGAGTCCTAAACTAGGACTCTTTGTGTGCTTTTTAATTCTAGCCTTCTGAATTCCTCATAATCTCTATCTTTCTTCTTCTAAATTTATCTCACTGAATTATACTTCTCGAATCATATCTTCGCTCCCTAATCTTCTCCATTACTGCTAATACTTCTACTATTGCTATCACTCTTAGATTTGAACTGACAGTTATGTCTCTGTGCTGATGTGGTATGGCAACCTGAACTGATGTACTTACGTACGAGGTTCTGCGTTGTATTTCTAGGTTTTTAATGTAGGTCTAACATTGATTGATTCATGACTTAAATGAAACATAACAATCTAAACAGCCTTCTAATGAAAACTTTCTATAATTATCCGTCGAGTTAACTTTCATGCTAGCAAACACTTGAAATTGAATGATTTTATGGTATTAGTGTTCGAACAATCAAATGCTACTGATATGAGGAATGTAGAGACGGTTCCATGAATACTGATGAGATGTGGGCATCGCATACAAGGGACAATAATATACAGCTAGTCATCATATGAATAGTTTAATTTGTAGCCATTACACACAAACCTAAACTTAGTTGTTGCGTTGACAAATTTTGGAGATTAGATTAAATTTGATTATTACTAGAATGTATACAATGTGAAACACACATTGATATCGGAATTGATGTATAAATTATGGAAAACAATCAGCTAGACAACTACATTTGTTACTGTAAAAGAATAATAATCATAATAATACCGTTTTAATGTCATATTTGTTTTTGTACAACTAATGATCTAACAAAACAATTTATGATACATGTAAATAAATACAATATTCAAAAATATTACAAACTTTTCTTAGTTTTCTTCCTGTCAGTGTTATAATCATTAGTTAAATTTATAAGTGAAAATTTGACTATGAAAACAAAGCCTTATATTTAGAAGTTTAATTAAGAAACAACAAATTTAATCATCCTATATCCACTTTTATCGTGGCATAGATATATATATGTGTAAAAATAAGTATCGTTCAAACATTTTATTATCTGTAAGACTTTAAATCTTTCCAGACATAATTCAGACAGAAAATAAAAGTGATGCAGAAAAACAGAACAACGGACAAGAGAGAAAAGAGGTACTGTTATTGGTCTCTTTATCTATTTGTCAGTCAGTCAGCTAGAATGAAGAACATTTTACGCACGTACACCAGTTAAAGTTGCCATACCACATTAGCACGGAAATTCAATTGTCAGTTCGAATACCATACTGGTAGAAGTAGTAGAAGTATTAGTGGTAACAGAGGTTAGGATTCGAAGGAATTATTCAGGAAGTATAATCCAGTGAAATAAATTTAAGAAGACAAAGATAAAGGTGATGAGGAATTCAGAACACTAGTATTTAAGGAAGCACAAAGAATGGATGCGCCCGAGCCGTTGCAAACGATTTTCACCCACGTCAGTCAGTCTCTAAACATCGGTTACAATTGTCTTGTGGACCTCAATCTGGAAGTCTTCAGCTACTGACATGGCTCAGTCCAACTGTCAGTAATTTCATGGATTTGTGTTATATTTTGGTTTGTCCACACCTAGCTTTCTCCCAACCTACTCCTACGCCACAAAAGGTGGCTCGTCGAGCCAGTCTGTGGTTGGGCATATGTATATGTACGATAAATCGATAGGGAATAATACTTACTACTCAATAAAAGCATAAAAAAGGATGGTTCTTCTGAAGTCAAAAATACCATTACAGTTTATTAGGTAAAATAAGCTATCCACCAACCTAGTCAACTTGGATCGAGTTTATAATCAGTATCAATTAATCATTCATAACAAAGTAGATGAATTCATGTGTTCACTGTGTCGAAATGTCATATGTATTTAAAAGGTGCATTTTAAGATCATTATATTAATCAAGATAAGCTATAACGACCAAAGCAACTAACTGCTGTCATAACTTCTCTAGTGGTCCGCAATCTGACTCTATTTTTGGATGAACAGTCGAATATGCTATGAAATAAACCTCCTCCTTAATTTACGTATATCATACTTCGCCAAACCCTGTTTGTGAAACGAAGGTAATAAGAAGCCAAGTAAGGCTTTGCGGATGACTTTATTTTATGCGATCATTGATGCAGACAGACACGATACTATATAAAGTGTAAAGGCAAAGTGAAGCGAAGTGCAGAAGGGGAGTGAGTCAACTCAATGCGATGAGGAGTGATTAAGTATTTATAGTCAGAAAAAAATAAGCGAGACATTTGATAAAGGAAGTAAGTGTGAATGACAGTGAAGCAAAAACAACTAATGAGCGAATAATAAACAAGGTCGAAAGACGTGTGGACATCTCCAGAATAATGGATAATTAACTTATCCAAAGACTGGGACAAGCCCTATGGGCTCGATAAATATGTACACACACTACATGTCACGATATCTATTCAGTCTGTACGATGGCTGTAGAGATCTATACTATCAATATTATACTGACGAACAAGTACCTATAAATGGTAACTAGAATAAAACCAAACCTTTAAACATGTACGCGCACATGTGAAATCAAGTTTTGTTAACACTAAACACAATTTTTAATAAATTAAATGTGAATGGATAAGCACTATGGTCTAGCACTTATTCATCCAGTGTAGTTAACTTTATGTCTATGGAGCTATATATTTATAATACAAAAAACGTCAAATTCAAGATAAGTTTAGCAAACCAAAATTACAACTTATAGTGAATAGAACATAAGACATTGATTATCATGTAAAACCAGTCAGACGTAAAATGTTGACAGATTAAGTTGCGCTTTTTTATGTATATGCATTGAAGTCTATAGACTGTACTAATTATGGAACAACGTTAATTGAAAATTCAAAATAAGCATTAGCGATACAAGCATACACTTAGATTACTTTGCATGTTCTAGAAATGCATCCATTAGAAACAAAAGTGAATGCAAGGAAATGTTATTTGTTTCTGCACACAAAATTTATCATTCACTTATTTGTCGTTTACAAACTTATGTAGCTGGTTTCCAACCAAACTTTGCGTATTAGGATCATTGGTATTATCTGGTTGTGTAAACCGAAAATAGGTGAAGCTGGCTTCGAACATGAGGCCTAATGGCTGCGAACTAAACATTTTAACTAATGAACAACCGTTCAGTTCATGCATCTAATTCTGGCAAACATCAACTTTAGGCATAGGGAAAAACATTTTTTTTAACATGGCTACCCCCAAAACCGACTCAACACTAGACTTAACTAGACCACATCGCTATCAGCCATCCAACAGAGACTTGAGAAAAGACTACTTCTTGTTCTGGAGCATATGTTCAGTTCATGTTCCAGTACGAGTACATATTTGTTTCGAGTTTTTGAGATGGTGGAGAAGATTTGTAGCTCAGGTGGATGATTGTGGTGGTGGTGTTTGGTTCTCTGAGCTGGGTGTTTTGGTTGTGGAGCTTTCATTGTTCTTCTGAACAACATCATCAGCACAAACTTCAGATAGAAGTGAAGTATTCGAATTGCTCCACGTTTAGCTTGTAGCTTGTTCTGCTAACCTCGATCTTGACTGGTTGCCGTTGACCTTAAACCTTGCAACTTCGTTTTGATTGTATCCCCCTTTTGATCTGTTTCTTGATCCTATGTTTGCAGATGATTTTTCTGATTGGTTGATAAATTGGGCCAATGTCGATGTGTTTGTTGGCTGCTGATTGACCTGGGTGCCAAGCTTCTAAAAATTCCCTAGTGTTCTTTGTCCTTCGAGCTTACTAAACTTAAAAAGCTACATCAAAAAACCCGCTAAGAGTTCAACTTATTGATGAAAATATCTATAGTATATTTCAAGAACATCTAGAGGTGTCATTTAACCGTGTAAGTGACGTACACCCAGGGGCAGCCTGCAACGACATTTGTAAGTCTGTCGAAACAGCAACAACATCTACTAGTAACCTAAACAAAAGGATGAGAAAAGTCAGTAAATTTAAACGGCATCTACTAAATCGATGGATACTTGGAAACGCCTTTCAACTGGCTCTGAGCACGATGCAGGTTTAAAAACAGGTTGATGAAAAGCCTAAGAAATGATTGTGAGCAGTGGTGGTTAGCGGAAGCAAAAGAAGTGAAGAAGACAGTGGTGACAGTTGATAATTAACTGTTCAGACTTATTAATAAGACAGGTATTAGAAATCTAACTGTTAGCGAGGTCATTTCGGAAAAGATAGGACTATTATTCTCTGTGGATTCGGGAGATTGGATACATGGGCAGAACACTTTAGGCATCAGTTCAACCGGCCTTCAGCCCGCCTCAGGTACCCATCATCTCGAAACAACCTGGATAGCAAAGTAATGTCAGTCTTACAACCCTTAATGGGGTGGAAAAGTTTATGGGTAATCTAAAGCGAGGGAGGGCAGAAAGATCTGATGGATTAATCCCTAAGATTTTTAAGGATGCTAGTCCAGTTTTAGCAGCTATATTGATTAAGATCCTAGCTAGAGTATAGGTGATCCCGCCTAACCTTTCAATCGCCGATTGTCCCACTTTAGTAAAACCATAACTGCTAACTAGGACTCGTGAAGGGCAAACAAGAAGAAACCAGGTTGGTCTCAAATATGAATGTGGACCTAGAGACCAAATATTCACAATTCAGAAGGTTCTGGGACATACATAATTTCCGACGTCTGACAATGGCTGTACTTCATGACCTTAAGGGTGTAATGAGCCAGCTGGTCGTGAAATTCTGTGACAATGTCTGTAATTTCTATTTGATTTTGTAATTGACAAACATTTCATCGTCTGACTCCTGAGGATCTAACCTTTCAGCAGTAAATTCGCCTGTTAACTACATTCAGATTGAACTATATGAGTTTGATCCGAAAAAATTGGACAGGTAGTATATAAGTTTGGCTAGGTGAGTACAAGTCTTAACAGCATACTTGCGTTGTAAATTTTCGATAGACCATGAAATCTACAAAATCGGTGAAATTTCAGGGATGAAATGAACCAAGTAAAATTTATTACTTCTTTTGAGTCTGCCTGGAATTTCGCTTACAAGGATTCAACATTGTATCGATCTAAATTTTCCATAACATCGACCTCGAAAATGTCCCTTAGATTTTCTTTCATAGTTCGAAGTATTCATGAAAACAGTATTTTTTCATCTACTTTTGTAATGGCCATTACCTTATCCTTACTTAATTGCTTTATGGAGTATAATTTATCTTTGAATAGATTACGAACGTTAAATTTCTAATGGCGACACTTTCATCGTCTGACATTCTAAGGGTTGACCTTTTACCAGGAGACTCGTTTGTTGACTTAGAATATGCATATGACGTAGTTCTGTTTGATGAAGACGATGACAAAATACAGGGTTTTCGACCTCCTTAAGCAATAATGCTGGCATGTTTTGGACAGGATTCTTAACCTTCGAAATGCGAAATGTTGTTTCATGATAGGACTGCATCGGCGCCTGAATTAGTTGAGTATCAACCGCTTCACTTATCTTGAGAGCCTCACCAGTCCCGACGGTCTGGTGTCTCAAGAAATCTCCTCACGGATACAGAAAACTCGATCAGTCTTTGTCAACGTGCGTTACCTGTAGCGTAGGCAAGGTATCTGTCTATAAACGAAAAGACAAGTTTACCGTACAGTAGTTCACTTCTTATTTATTTATGAGTGTTAAACATGGTCATTAATAACAAAAGATATTCAGAAGCTACTAGTATTTGATCAAAGATGTCTTTAAACAATTTTTTATGCATTCCAAGACCATCGAGTAAGCTCTTTATTGGTTAGGGATAGAGTACCAGATGAGGATGGTAACTGGATCAATGAAGTAGTGAATCTTTATTGGTTGAGATGATTGAGATCTGGGTGATAATCTTATCCAGTGGTCATAGACCTTGAATTACAAAATTACGAAATCGTTTGCAATGGCGCAGATTCATCCAATGTTTGTCTTCCCCTAAATTTTAAGTTTCTCAATCCCGCATAACTTTTTATTTGATTTAATTTGATTTATTTTTTTTTGACCGCATCGTCAATCCTTAATTTTTCCACTTACCACTGATACAGTTGCTATCTCTACTTCTTCAAGATTTTGCCTAAAAATTCTATATTTGTGTGCTAATTAGGCATGTTAACTGGAATTGATATGAATACCAGATTTTGAGTTGTGACCAATTGACTGACTGACCAAAGGAAAGAGATTATGTTTAAAATTAAAACAAATAGGTCTGAAAAAATATTTACTAGTGATATGACAGAGCAGTTTAGTCAGAGGGAAAACAAATCAAAATGAAGCTGGAAAAACTTTCGAAAACAACTTCTCACAGATAAACTCATTAGGAACAGCTGAGTTAGGTGCTTGTAGAATAAGTAAGTAGCTGAATTCTGTATGGAGTGCTGATAATAGTACCTAAGAAGCTAACGAAAGCTTTGTAGCTGACCTATCCAACTTACGGAACACAACACAAGCAAAAATAATACACATGACAACGAGCTGAATAGAAGTAAAGTCCGATAGTTGGGGGTAAACCCTATCGTATATCAGGATCATTGTTTCCGAAAAGCTGAAGAACAGCTGTTGGGTACTTAGTTTATAGTTACCACATTCATTAAAATCATAAAAAACGATGCTATACAAAAGGTGTAAAACTACGAGGTCAAAAATCTTATAATGTTTGATTCTCATGGATAAATTGAGATGAAAGTGATAAATAAACTAATGATGAAAGTTTTAGATACATAAAACTAAACTCGAAAATTGATGAAGCTTTAACAAAGTATGTAAAATTGCTTGCATATAATTAATAAAATACACCATAAATAAAACTACGACACTGTAACTATTTACACTCAACCTAAGAACAAATATTTAAAGTTATTCCACATCATTTAACGCAACGTATTCATAAAATAGGAGTTAATGTTCTCAGCCTTACTTCACTACTTTTTTCTGAGGGCTAATCATACTAACGACTTTCCAAACAAAAACAGTCGAAGCAGGTCCCGGATGTGATTGGAATTTGAATATCTCAATCTGTTCATCGTCGCTTTATTTTCTGTTACTCATCGCTTACATTGGTGTACCAAGTACCCAATTATTCATGAGATAGGATTCGTCGCAAACAAAACATTTCATTATCGATATTTCTAAATGTAATTTTTTATGGTACCTATGAAAATTGGTTTCAGAGTAATATAAAGATTATTTAAACTTATTGTGTGTTTTAAAAATCGTCCAGGATAAAAATGCTTCAGAACCATTAAAGCCAAGTCAATTAAAAAGTACAAGTTCGTACTTACGTACATCAACTAAAGTTGCCATATCACATTAGCACAGAAATTCAATTGTCGATTCGAATACCATACTGGTAGAAGTAGTAGAAGTATTAGTGGTAACAGAGGTTAGGGTTCGAAGGAATTATTCAGGAAGTATAATCCAGTGAAACAAATTTAAGAAGACAAAGATAAAGGTGATGAGGAATTCAGAACACTAGTATTTAAGGAAGCACAAAGAATGGATGCGCCCGAGCCATTGCAAACGATTTTCAGCCATGTCAGTCAGTCTCTAAACATCGGTTACAATTGTCTTGTGGACCTCAATCTGGAAGTCTTCAGCTACTGACATGGCTCAGTCCAACTGTCAGTAATTTCATGGATTCGTGTTATATTTTGGTTTGTCCAACCCTAGCTTTCTTCTAGCCTACCCCTACACCACAAACTATTGTTTATAGAGGCAGTCAGTGGTGATGGAATCGCCATCTGTACCCAGTACCCGCTTCCTAACCCCAGGATTGCTTACTCGATTGTCTTAAAATATTCGAGCAATGCTTTGAAGACACGGATGATCGTATACAAGTAACCTACGAATATCTTCTACTCTTACTGACCGTCTTTCACACCCATATAAAAGGACGGATAGAACTGATGCGCCGTACACTCATCCTTTAGTTAGCAGACGGATATTTTGCCAACACCATACGTGACACAAATTGTCAAAAGCCAGTCAAGCCTTATGTATCCGTTCTGAAATCTCGTCAGTCACCAGACCATCAGCATTGATGAGACTCCCAAGATAAGCAAGGCGGTCAACACACTCAAATACTCCACTCCCTATCACTAGTTCAGATGCCAATGCAACCCAATCCTGAAAGAAAATTTTGCATTATCCGGAGGCATATATATATATATGCTGTTGGTTGAAGAACTGGCTTGATTCTTTCAGAGGTGAATATCTATTATAATGAATAAGTTGATGCACAAATTTTGATTCGACTTGGTCAATAAAAGCTTCCTATTCAGTTTCGCTTTTCTCACTCATATCCGTATTAGGAATATACGACCGCTCGAAACAACATAATAATATCTCAGTACATAATTAAAAACAAACGATATTCACATATGGACAAGTAAAAAAGACTAAAGATCGAATTTACTGTTTTTAACTTGTGATAAGATAGGTCTGTCGTAAATAAGTTTAAACCAGAGGTTTAATAAGCAATTTCATTGAGATGCCTCTTTGTTAAAGCTGACAGAAATTCAAAAGCCAAGGGTAACTTACGATGAAGAATGGGTATTAGAACCTTACAGCGTAAAGGTTAGTTAGTTAATTAAGTAACCATCGACAGAACGGGTTAAATCTAAATTAGAGTAGAAAGACGCTCAATTATATTAAACCACTGTTTATAGCGCTAAATAAATTAAGCTAATGTAATTTTTTTTACATCAACAACTATTTTGCAAAAAAAGTTAGACATACCTGGTATACACTAATGCGTGTTGAATAATTCGTAGTCCTAGATTATATTTTCTTTTGATGATACACAATTTGCACATAATACGGAGAACTTCAACTGTAACATGAGGAGACGGTGGTGTACCTTGGTTGAAACATATTTCTAACTGTTCAATAGCCAGTACAGTAAAATGAAAAGCTATTTGATAATGACACATGGAATAATGATAAGTCGCAAGTTGTGCATTCATATAAGCACTAGTAGACATACACATATCCAGATCACCATCCAATAGGTTGAGCACAACTTCGGAGGTCGAATAAACAGTTGGAAAGTAGGACTGAGTTTAAAATTGATTTGAAAGAAAACAAAACTACAAATTAATATGAATTAAGAGTTGGAAACCATTCAAAGTGTTTGTAATGGAATAAAACACTTTACTGGCACTTCTTAATCTTAGCTGACATTAACTGCATTGTGGTGAGAAACGTTTAAACGTTTGACGGTAATTTCAGTAGCTCAAAATATTTAAGTTTTTAAGACAAGTATTCGACAGAATGTTTTAGTATCTAAATATACAGATGAAAGAGATAATGCCATAACAGCAAGATATATCAAGAACATGTGGTAACATATTGCAGCTCTATAATAAAAATCATGACTGATACACGTTTAATAAAAAAATAACTGATGTAGATGTAAAACTCACTCATGTTTAGTGAGTGAGTGAGTGAGTGAGTGAGTAACTCAAATTTATACATGTATGAAGAATATTCGGTTTGAAAGTTTACCTAATTTATTTGCAGCTAAATTGTCCTTACAGAAAGATTAGAGCTATTTAAAATAGCATCAGCTAGTTTGTTTTTATGGTTACTAACCAGTACAAATGCATGGTTTCGTTATAGGCATCATCACACGTGGTCAGTAAGTTTCTCAAAACAGGCATTTTGCAGATATCGAGTGTTGCATACAAGTATGTACTTCGTGTTTCGGCAAATAAACGTAAATAAACCATCTACAGTATAAAACGTGATAAGGCTATAAAATGTAGTGAATAGTTCTTCACAAAATGTTGAATATTCCTTCAGTGTCCGACACCAAATATGTAAAGAAACCCATTTTATTAACAGTAACGTTTGAATTACGTCATAGATATTCAAGACTGAATTCTGATCGGCATTTCTTGGTATATGCAAATCCTGTATGTCTTGCATTGATATAGCCAAAATGTCACAGATGTTTGTCGGTGAAACCTAGTTTCAGGGTTTCGACCCACCTGAGACTCATCAACTGGATGTACTTACTTCTGAGTGTGGATGTTCATACTGAAACTTGCAGTTATTTTCACTTTGAATGTGTCTCTAGACACAATAGCGCAGAAGATAATGAGTTTGAATTTGAAGCAAAACGTACTGTGAGTCCAAATACGAACACCAACACTCAAATTCAGGTATATCCAACTAACGTAGTGCGAAATAAGACAGAGAGCATGGACTAGATTCACAAACTAGCACCTTAGGAATTGACCTAAGCAGTGCTCCATGAAATCTTGTGCATGAAAATATCAAGCAATTTTGACAAGTGCTCTTAAATACATGAATTAAGAAGAAATATACAGTTCTAAGTAGCGTAGCACACAGGAAATTTTAAATATGTTTTATGTATAACATTTACAACGTAAGTATATATGAAGCAAAGACAAATATTCAGTTAAAGAGGAATAATAACTTAATGCTAAAAAAATGAAGCTATGCAGGAGATCTACTTCTTTGGAGCTTAAAATTCTCACAACCATTGAAAATAATGTAAAAAGCAATATCGTCGGGACTATTTGGTGAGTTAATTACAATATTTTGATTATTTCAACTGTTTTTAATAATTATATGATCAAAAAGGTCAAAAAACTCTAGTCTATGCATGTACTTTAATCATCAGGAATATTGAGTCCACTAAATAAATAAAAATAGTTGAAGAAAAAACAACATACATCTGAAATTAAAGAGGCTGGTTGAGTTATAGGTGTTTCGAAAACACAAGGAGATTCATCACCAGCAGGTCCAACGATTCTGATAGAAGTAGATGAAGTACTTTCAGAAATTTCATCTGACGATCGAGACGCTGATAATCCAATAGAATCAAAAGCATTTCGAGATGCATTCTCCAGGCTAACTGGTAACAAGGAATAGTCAAAATTATTAAGATCAATTGACTTGGTCATTAACAAGTTCGACTTCCACATCGACTTCAGTAAATTGGGTGCTTCATGTTGAAAAACTTGTTGATCTTCAGGTTCTAAGTACATATTATGCGCATTCATCGCTCTAAGCATGCTAATAATAAAATTTAAAGCATGTACATGTGAAGATGGATAATAATTTAAGCGGAAGGTTTAAACTGCATTTATAATGCTTTAGAATTTAAATACTTCCATAAAAATACGTTATAACAGACTATTTATCTTACATATCGTTTATGATCGTCGTGAACGTGAAATAATAGTCTTTTAGGAATTCGCAAAAGTATAAAAGCTAGACATCATACTTATAAATAAAACTAAAAGAAATGTGTGTAAAATTATGAATCCCCTGTAACCCGTAGTTCATGAACTGTGTTCATGTTTAGGCATTAAATTATAAACCATACCCATTATTGATAAGCCAGAGAAACTACAAGTTTGATGAATTACAGTTTTGACCAGTAACGAAGGATAAAATAAGTGGTACCATAAGAAGTAATGAACACATAAGCAATTTACATTGGTGATACAGACGTTTAAAAGTATATACCTTGAAAGCACTTTTAACAACCAGATGGAGTACCCAGTTTCTTCGGAGCGAATACGACCACATATTTCAGAAGTTAGTGGTTAGATAAAACCCAGAACATTTCTTTATAAATGGTATCCTTATTGGATATATACATATATATATATATATATATATATATATATATATATATGTATATATATATATATATATATTGGAAATTTTAAACATAATCTAGAGCTACTACTTATTGCCAAGCCAAGAGACGTTAAAAACGGTTGGAAACAACTACTGGAAAAACTGTGGCTTTATTATATTTATTATCAGAAACTTTAACTGGAATTTCAAATGCTAGAGATCGATGCTATTCTGTCAGAGCTCGTAATGGTACAGTAGTCGTTGTCGTCGTCGTAGTAGTAGTAGTAGTAAGAATAATAAGGGTATCAATTAAAAATTGGGCAACAAATAATGAGGTTTAAAGAGAATCGACTACATGCAACTAGATCATGGCAATATATTGTTGGTTATCAATGACAGTTCTACTAAGACTGAACAAATTTTCCTGACAATAGGAGGCCGCATTTATATATTTCTGGCTCAACTACATATAGCGATTCTATAGTGAAACCTGAATACAGAGGTGTCAGAAATCGGACAGCGGGACAGGTTAGGAAAGGCCATAATTTGCCAATTTTATCCGGTAAAGTTAAAAACCAGCTTAAATCGTAATGAAATCTATTAGTGTAGGTAAATCAACGGATGTTATGCTTGTGAGTTAGTAACAATAAAACAAATCTATTGAGAAACTTTTTTTGATTTCATAATTACGAACACGGTAAATCTATAAAACTATTAAGAGTACAGATGTAAAATTAAAGTAAAACAGTCGTTGGAGGACGCTAACAATGAAACACTGATACTTATGATGTATTTTAGACGACTTGCACAAAACCATCACAAATACAGACAAATGTCTTACACACAACGAAAAAGTTGTTATAACTAATAAGTAGAACCATTGCAACTTAAATTTAGTAGATAATTACGGTTACACGATATTTGAATTAAAGGTCTCTAATGAGAATTGCAGACTTGAATTTTAGCATCGGAAAAATAAGATCTTAAATTAAAAGAGTTCTAAACATATATATCATTAGAAGACTACACCTTCACTTACATGCACATAGCTTCATACTCTAAACGCTGCTGAGCATGATGATATTTTTTATGAGTGAAAAAAGAACGCACAGTTTCGTGAACAATCCGAGCTGCTTTGTATGCATGAACATATTCCGAACACTCGCACAAAAAGTTTGAAACTTTGAGACCAAGCAATGCAGCAGCTGTTACCTCTGGAGCTGCATTACGTTTTAACCGGGTAGCTCGACTAAGAACTTCGTGCAAGTTTAAAACCAAATTATTTGATAATGTATGTGGTTCAACAAGAGGGGAATAATCTGAATGTTTGATAACTATATTCATGTATTGGTTGACTGAAAGTTGAAAATTAATCAATACAAAATTTATTAAATTTATAGTACGTTTCAAACATTAATCTCAAAGTCACCAAACATCAAATCAAAATAGTGACTGGTCAACATGTGACACTTTAGGCTATATTAGTCACTTTTAGCAGAAATAAACTTCAGAGTGAATTACATTGATAGCTTGCGTTGGTCTTATATTTGGTTTTTTAATACATAATAATGCTAGACAAGTAATCCAAAAGTCTTTAGTTGGTGATAGTTAGTTACGAAAAAAATTCGAGAGTTTAGAATGTAATAATATTCTAAGAAAGATAGTATATTACTTCCAATAAACAAGCAGAAGTGGGAATAGTTGTATAACGTACTAAAACTATCAAAAACTATTGCCCAATGTATGGTTATGGAAAGAGTAATTTTAACCAACAAAATTATTAAATTATTTGATTGATTTGTCTTTCTCAAGATCATCAGTCTTAATATTTTTTTAATGCACACTTGTTCATGCCTGATCGCTAAACTATGTTTGTAAAGTCTAGCACTTCTTAAATGGAAAGAGAGTGAAAAAATGAGTCAAAGTTCATACATAATTCAGTGTTCAACTGCATACCTGTTTCCATTCATAGAAAATATTTAATTTTTAAAATCGTGGGTGTATATATCGAATCTTACTATCCAACTTAAAAGGTAATATGAAGTCTAAGTGCTTGTAGGACATGTAAGAACTTCATTCACATTCAACCGGACATAAATCCAAAAGGCAGCGTTCTATGAAACAAAAGATGAAGGGTATTGTAAATAAATAGAAGCCAAACACAAGTCTATGCATTTTATGTTTACCAAGACATTTTACGAAAGGAAGTAATATTGTTATGCAGTTGCATCTATGTGCTAATGTGGTATGGCGACTTGAACTTATGTACGTACAAGCGAAGTTCTACGTCGTAACTGACTGACTGACTGAATATCATTAAGCTGTATCGATTAGTGGCAAAGGCCAACATACTATCAACGACAACAAAACATTAAGGCTGAGAATGCACAAAAGTAGTCAAACATCTTGTCGAAATTACCAGTGGCATCAGCCAGCTAGTTTGAGTAAAGAGAATACTTCTGACTTGGATAGGATTTTTTATATATGACTATAAAGATAGCGAATAGTTAAACGGTTTATGAATTACGCAAACTATTTAAATTATTTAGACATGAGAAAAGTGATTTACTCTCATAAGGTAATACTAATTTATGCCTCTCACCCACACCACCGGTAAACATTTTCGAATCATTTTATATACTGTATATCAAACGTATACATACAAAAGCACTATATCCACTAGGTAAAATACAATGAGTTTAGAAAATTCATCCACCACCAGTACTGCAGTCTGATGAAGAATTGCCCAAGGGAATAATAATAACTTTTCATTGTCCTAACTGCAAGACAAAAATTGTGTTTTTCGTCAATGGTTTTGATGTTAATTTTACTGTGGTTAAGAAAATACATCTTTACAAACAGGGAGTTAACTGATGGAAGTAAATGATGCCAAAAAAATTAGAAATTTAAAAAGTGATTCTTTTAAAGAGATGTAAAATTTAACCTAATAAAGACAGGGAGACTCACCTTCATTATTTGCCCCGCTAACACCATAGAAATGACCATGTTGCATCCAAGAGTAAATGAATACTTGTACATCTCTAAAGAATATAACTGAAGACAAATTATTACATACCTGCATGTTTCATATAGCTTGTTAAAAACATGTGGGTCAGCTAAGAAACTGAAAACAGTCTGCAAAGCCCCAAAACTCCCCTCATCCGTAATAGTGCGATGATACAATACATGCGTCATTGGCAGCCAATATATACAGAAGTTCTTTCAAAACAGTGAGAGAAATAGAGTACTTACTATCGTGATAAACTGTCGAAATAATTTAGAAGGTAGGCCAAGCAAGTAGTTAATGGTAAAATTTGGAGGAGGATTTTCTATTAGAGACAACAAACAAGAAGTACTGAGTGATATTTCCTTCCGAAACATTGACTGTTTCAGCTTTTTCGATATTTCATAATGAGCGAACGCTCCGTAAATAGTTTTTATTTCTCCTTTGTTTTCGAAGTGGTTGAACTGGAAAAAATACTCCAATTCCAGTGGCGATGAAAATGGTAGAATGCTCGAAAACAACTCAAAACAATCATTTAGTTGAGATGTTATTTTCCATCCAGAAGGTATACTGCTGAGGACAATTTTCGACAAACATATAAGAGGAGAAGAATTGCTGTCTTGAAACATAGAAGTAACACACAACAAGTAAGTCCCGCTCGTTCTATATATTCAATTGTTTCGTAGAAGTGTGAAGTACTGCATTTTGCAGGTATTTATTTTGTTAACTTATAGCAGACTCGGACCTTTCGAAAAGTTTGATGTGATGCCTTTATCCTTTTAATGAAAAGGAGATTTGAGCTTTAGGTTACAAAGCCAAAGGCCTTTCATATTTTTCTAGTGAAAAACCCTAACTGGACACACTCACTCACACATCCTCACCAGATTACCATGGGGTACATCTTCGATCCCCTTCATTCACGACTTCTGGTCTGACTTGGCTTCATGTATCCTCGATTTGTAAGGTGTTGCGGACAAGAGCGTTGTTTAGCTCTGAATAACAGTCGCATCCTGACTGATAAGCTTTATGCGATTTGTACTCTAGCAGATATTCTGTAAGTCTATTTCCTGTTATAACTCAGTGTGTGCTTATACTTTTTTACATATCGTGACACTGTTTTTGTTTCCACATTTTCTCGCATATTTATACTATTCTTATTACTTCGGAACACCTACCTCAGCTACTTCAGATTATGCATAGATTGAAAACATCTAAGCCAGATTTAGCTGTGTATAAGCCTCATTTCATGAGCACGGTGTGACGGTACAGTCATGAACGTGTCACATATTTTACACTTAAAAGGTTTAATAGTAATGTTTTCAAACCTTACGACATCCGGGAAAGTACTTACTTACTTACTTACGCCTGTTACCCCCAATGGAGCATAGGCCGCCCACCAGTTTTCTCCAACCAACTCTGTCCTGGGCTTCCCTCTCCAGTTCTGTCCAATGTTTGTTCATTCCTCTCATATCTTTCTCTATTTCTCGGCGCAGTGTGTTCCTTGGCCTTCCTCTTTTCCTTTTGCCTTGAGGGTTCCATTTGAGGGCTTGTCTAGTGACGCAGTTGGGTGCTTTTCGTAGTGTATGTCCTATCCATTTCCACCGCTTCTTCCTGATTTCCTCCTCCACTGGAATCTGACTTGTTCTCTCCCACAGTTCGTTGTTGCTGATGGTGTCTGGCCAACGAATACGAAGTATTTTGCGTAGACAACTGTTAATAAACACTTGTATCCTCTGGATGATGGCTTTGGTAGTTCTCCATGTTTCCGCTCCATACAGTAGAACTGTCTTGACATTTGTATTGAAGATCCTGATTTTGGTTTTGTTTGAAAGTTGTTTGGAGTTCCAGATATTTTTCAACTGTAGAAATGCAGCCCTTGCTTTGCCAATCCGCGCCCTCACATCTGCGTCCGATCCACCTTCGTTGTCGATGATGCTGCCAAGATATGTGAAGGTGTTAACGTCCTCGAAAGCATCTCCATCAAGCGTGATTTGGTTGGTGCATGTTGTGTTGCATCGGAGAATTTTGCTCTTTCCTTTATGTATGTTGAGACCTACTGCTGCAGAGGCTGCTGCTACACTGGTCGTCTTCTCTTGCATTTGTTGTTGAGTGTGGGATAGAAGAGCCAGGTCATCTGCGAAGTCCAGATCGTCCAGCTGCGTCCTAACTGTCCAGTTGATACCGTGCTTCCCTCCAGATGTTGACGTCTTCATAATCCAGTCGATGACCAGGAGAAAGAGAAAGGGTGAGAGTAAGCAACCTTGCCTGACACCGGTCTTCACCTCAAAAGAGTCTGTCAGCTGACCTCCGTGCACGATTTTGCAGTTGAATCCATCATAAGAATTCCGTATGATGTTGACTATTTTCTCAGGCACACCGTAGTGTCGAAGAAGCCTCCACAGTGTTTTCCTATCCACGCTATCGAATGCTTTCTCGTAGTCGATGAAGTTGATGTAGAGTGGTGAGTTCCATTCAATTGATTGTTCCACAATGATCCGTAATGTAGCAATTTGGTCAGTACACGATCGATCCTTACGAAATCCAGCCTGTTGATCTCGAAGTTGGGAGTCTACGAAGTCCTTCATTCTGTTTAACAATACTCTGTTGAAGACTTTGCCTGGTATTGAAAGAAGAGTGATGCCTCTGTAGTTTTCACACTTGCTGAGGTCGCCTTTCTTTGGTATTTTGATGAGGTATCCTTCTTTCCAATCTGATGGTACTCGTTCCTCATCCCAAATCTTCTTGAAGAGAATGTGAAATATTTTCGCAGTTGCTTCCACATCTGCTTTCATTGCCTCTGCTGGAATGTTGTCTGGTCCTGCTGCTTTGCCGCTCTTGATTTGTCTGATGGCTATACTGATCTCCTCAATCGTAGGTGCGCCAATATTAATTGGGAGGTCCGTGGATGCTGCTTCGATGTTGGGTGGGTTCAGTGGAGCTGGTCGATTCAATAGTTCCTTAAAGTGCTCCACCCACCTATTTCGCTGTTCGTCAGTGTTGCTGATTATTTTCCCTTCCTTGCTTTTCACTGGTCGTTCTGGTTTACGATAGTTTCCGGCGAGCTTCTTTGTAGTTTCGTACAATTGTCTCATGTTTCCTTCTCTTGCAGCCTTTTCCGCCGTCATTGCTAGATAATCCACATATTTTCGTTTGTCAGCTCTGATGCTCTTCTTCACTTCCCTGTTTGCTTCTGTATACTCGGCTTGTGCCTTAACTTTCTCTGCTCTTGTTCGGCAGACATTGATAGCTGCCTTCTTGTTCCTCCTTTCTTGAATTTTTTCAAGAGTACCAACAGAGATCCATTCCTTGTGATGGTGCTTCTTGCGACCAAGGACCTCCTGACATGTTGAAGTGATTGCCTCCTTAATCCCTTTCCAATTGTTCTCCAATGTTGTGTCCTCCGCATTGAGTAGATCCTGAAAGGCCTGGAATCTATTGGTGAGGGCTATCTTGAATTCGTTGAGTTTTACGGTATCCCGAAGAAAGGCCGTATTAAACTTCTGTGATGTTGTCTGCCCCGCTGTCCAGTGCTTCTTTAGCTTCAATCTCATTTTGGCGATCAGCAAGTGGTGATCTGAAGCTATATCAGCTCCTCTCTTGGTTCTCACATCCTCCATGGTCCTTCTGAACTTTTTGTTGATACAGATATGGTCAATTTGGTTTTGAGTAGTGTGGTCCGGTGAAATCCATGTGGCTTTGTGAATGCGTTTGTGCGGAAATATTGTGCCACTGATGACCAGTTTGTTGAAGGCACATAGGTTTGCAAATCTCTCACCGTTTTCGTTCCTTTCTCCCAGTCCATGTCGTCCCATGATGTCTTCATATCCAGTGTTGTCCATTCCAACCTTGGCATTCAGGTCTCCCATAAGAATCGTCAAATCCTTTGGTGAACATTTATCGACGACTGACTGCAGCCTTTCGTAGAATTGATCTTTAACGTCGTCATTGTAGTCATTGGTAGGTGCATAACATTGGATGACGTTCATTGTAATGTCCTGTTTCCTTGTTTTGAAGGATGCTTTAATGATCCTGGGTCCATGAGATTCCCATCCTATCAGTGCCTTTTGTGCATGTTTGGACAGCATCAGTGCAACTCCTTGTGTATGTGAAGCGTTTTCCTCTTCATGACCAGAGTATAACAGCAGTTCCCCTGAAGCAAGTCTCAGTTGTCCTACCTGTGTCCAATGTGTTTCACTGATGCCGAGCACCTCGAGGTTGTATCTTTTCATTTCTGCCGCAACTTGAAATAGTCTTCCAGTCTCCCACAATGTACGAACGTTCCATGTACCTAAGTGAATGGTTTCTCTGGTTGTCAGAAGAGGCATCGGCCCCGTGACTTCCGAGGGGACTCGGCTTTCATCACGAGACGTCATAATTCTTCTTCCAACTCCCAGGGCAGAGTAAAAATGGTTTGAATTATTTTTTCTGGTTAGCGTTTTTTTGGCAAGTGAGATTTCAACGGAATGGGGCCGCCAACCCCAT